AGGAATCAGGTGTGGTGCCTGCCTTCCCCGGTGTGCCAGTTAGCACCACCAGTAAACTTCTCCAGGGCGGGGACCTGGCAGTGGGAGAGAAACTGGACCAGTGGGACTGGACGAGGCAGAGAAAAACTTCCGACTACAGATGCACCCCAGTGGGGGCAATTGCAGACCTCTGGTTTGTGAAGCAACTCTTCTACAAATTTGCATGCATGCACTCTTCCACAACCTTGGCCATAGTTTTTATTAGCCCTGGTTGATATTCAGAAAACGGAGGCTCTGGGATTGTAAGAAACTTGCACAGGATGAGAGAGCAATCAATATTAGATTTGGTTTCACTCTCGACTCCTTTGAAGACCCCATTCCAACTACGAATGAGTCCTCAAAGGAGAGAGAATACTGCTTTCCCAGGAATCAGGTGTGGTGCCTGCCTTCCCCGGTGTGCCAGTTAGCACCACCAGTAAACTTCTCCAGGGAGCTAGGGAGCAAAGGGCTTTAACTAGATCCAGCCTATGAGTCAATTGTACCAACGAGAGAAAACCTGACTCCTCACCTTGAAACCGTCTCTGCTCCAGTGCAAACTCGAAAAGACAAAACTCCAGCACTCCTTTGCTGCTGAGATGCCCAGCTGCTGGCCTTCTGCAGTAGTTCTTGTTTCCCTGAAGCACCTGAACCCATTTATTTTCCATCTGTTTCTTGACTTCCTAACGCAATTTTATTGCACCCCAGAAGGTTTTGCTTCTCTCAATTAGAGAGGGGAGAAGCACTCAGCGATATCCAGGAGGCACCAGAGACTTTGCAGGTAGGCGGGAGAATAAACAGGTTCATGAACCCAGAATCATATCTGTTCCTTCAGCACTTAGACACGCATTGGTCTGGCTGGCGCTGGCCTGGGAGATTCAAGGAGACCTATGCCTGGGACCTGGCTCTTGGAGGGAGGAGGGAGCTGACTGACTTAGCTCAGAGTGAACCAAGGTTAGGCTGCTAAGGTGGGAAAGGGAAGCAGTGAGGGATGGTGGAAGCCCGTGACTTTGATCCCATGGAAAGCAGGGTTTGGAGCACAGGTTGCTCAGAAGTCCTGGCAACCCAGATCAAAGGATGTTCTCAGGCTTGCCTCTATGGAGTAGAAAGTCTCTATGTATTTGAAAGCCCATGGTTTTATATCCACAACATAGCTGTTGGCTGCTGTATGTTAGGCTGTTTAGGGGGATGTAAATAGGACAGCTTAGGAAACCAAACGTGGAAAGCACAGAATCTACGGGGGTAAAGAGATACAGCGGAGGAGAAGGGGGACTCACTGCTTTTCATGTATTTAGAAACGGTATGCATTCCTGGAGTCCTTTTACCCCTAGAGTTAACATTACCAATTACTCTACCTATTAATGGGAGACCAATAAGTCAAAATCAGTTTAACAACTACGAATTATAGCTGATATAAAGTGTTTGAATTTGGGCTAATAACACATACTAAGTTATAGACAGATGAGATTTAAAATTACTAAGGTAAGACATTGGGTTCATAATGGACACATTAATAGGATACTAAACCGATTTAAAGTCTCTGGCAGGCACAATCAAAAAACCAAATATATAACCACTCCATCCATCTTGAGCTTCCCCATCTTGTCACATAATAGAGTTTCAAACACTGTTAGCACCCTGATAAATGGTTATTATACATTACCCATGCATGCTCCCTTCCAATTAAGACAGGAGCAAGCATCTGCTACTCTATTGCACTGGGTCATCTTTCCCCTTTGTTAATGCTGAAATACTGAGCCTCATCCCCACAGACTGTTTGAAGAGACAGGTACACTTTCGTAATTATGGGGTTGTTGTAGGAGCCTTGGATGTTCACAATGACCGTGTCTTTCACAGGAAAAATATCCAGAAGAGCCTGAGGAAAAATCTACCTGCTATCTGCAGCAGCTTTTATGATGTAAGACTGGCCCATATCTTAGAGGGTAGGATACAATCTGCACTGTAATTTCTGGTAGGCCAAGAACAAGAATACTATTTTGATGGAGTTTTTCTTTATTTTTTCTTGCATTCTCTCTCTCTCTCTCTCTCTCTCTCTCTCTCTCTCTCTCTCTCTCTCTCTCTCTCTCC